TGTTAGGACAAGGGAATACTGAATGGTTTAAAACCAGGAAAGGTGTGCATCAGGGTTGTATCACTTCACCACATTTATTCAGTCTGTATGCTGAGCAAATGATCTGAGATGCTGGATTATATGAAGAAAAATGTGGCATCATGATTGAAGAGAAAACTCAAACAACCTGAGATCTGCAAATAATACAACCTTGCTTGTTGTGGGAGTGAAAAGAATTTAAAATACCGATGAAGATCAAAGACCACCGTCTTCAGTATGCATTTTTCCTCAATATAAAAAAGACAAAGATCCTCACAATTGGATCAACAAAATCATAATAAATGGAGAAAAGATTGAAGTCAAAAACTTCATTTTGCTTAGATCCACTATTAACACCCTTGGAAACAGCAGTCAAGAAATCAGATGACATGTTGTATTAGGCAATTCTGAAAAAGACCTCTCTGTTAAAGTGCTTAAGAACAAAGTTGTCAGTTTAAGGACTAAGGTATGCCTGATCTAAGCCATAGTATTTTTAATCACCTAATATGCATGTATAGAGTCCTGGTGTGGCGCTGTGGGTTAATGCGCCAGACTGTGCAAAGCCGTTTGAACTGCAAGGTCGACAGTTCACGTTCACCAGCTGCTCTTCAGAATCCCTATACAGGGATGCTGTGGGTCAGAACCGACTTGACGACACTTAACATCAACAATAATATGCATGTATACATTGGACATTGGATAAGGAAGACTGGAAGAATCGATGAACTATGTTCTGGAGGAGAACATAAAATTCCCACGAACTGCCAGAAGCACAAACAAGTCTGTGCTGGAAGAAGTACAACCAGAATGCTCTGTAGAAACCAGGATAAAAAGACTTTCGTCTCTCATGCTCTGAATATGTTATCAGAAGGAGATTTATCCCTGGAGAAGGATATTGTGTTTGGTAAAGTGGTGGGTTGGCAAAAAAAAAAAGAGAAAGCTCCCCCCAAAGAAATGGATTGACAACAGTGATCACCGTAGCAGCGGAATCTAATGTAAGGACAATTGTGACAGTGGTATAGGAAGGACTGAGCAGTGTTTCACTTAATTTTGCATAGGGTCGTTATGAGTCAGAACCAACTCGATGACACCTTACAACAAAAATAGGGTTCATAAAAAGGAGCTCTGGTAGCATAGTGGTTACGAATCGGGCTGCGAACCTCAAGGTCAGCAGTTCGAAACTACCAGCTGCTCCATGGGAGAATGATGAGGCTTTCTGCTCCCATAAAGATTTACAGCCTCGGAAACCCTGTTCAGGGTCGCTATGAGTCGAAACCGACTCGACAGCACTTAACAACAACAACAACATACTGTATAACCCCTCCCCTCCACACTCAGGGTTTTGGATAGGACTCTATAATTAGACATGTTTTTCTAGGGGAACCAATGCACAACCATACAAAGTTGGATAAATACAGTCAGTAGGCTTTCATTGATACAGATTTTGTTGCCAAATTTTTGAAGAAAAAGAAAAAAAAAAAAGATTGGTTTTCAGAGCTTTTTGGATTTCGGGACTGTGGGTAAAGGAATATGGAACAGCAGTACTTGAAATGTATAAAACAATGCCTGCCACTTAAGTGCTGTGTCTGTTGTTATTATTTAAATGATTATTCTAGTTGATGATATGAGAAGAGTAATGTAGTTTTTTTGGTGGGAGGAAATTCGTTCTAATTTAAAGTCTCATTTATACAGGTTGGGTATTCTTTTTCTTACTTAACTACATAGTGCTATTAGAAACTGTATCCTCTTTGCTTGGCTTGAATTTGACCTCATAGGAATGTCCTGTTGCTGCTAACACCTAAGAGCCTTTGGCCCCAAGTGGTTGTCTGACTTCTAAATTAATATGGATTGATGCCAGTACATCTGTAGAATGCAAATTGCAGTTAAATTCTGGTAGTGTCTATTGTCCTTGGAAAGTTCGGATTACTATGTCCTATTTGGATTTGAAGACTATTAATAATTTCTAGCTCTTTCTACTTTTATGTTTGGAAAATGTCAGAAAATAGGATTTTATAATTGTTTTCAGGACTCTTGATTTCTGAATGATTAGCTGTTACCACCCCTCCCCGATCCTGACCAGATGAACACAATGTTAATCTTCTGAATCTGCCTAACCTTTAAGAATATTTATATATCTTGTTGGTTTTCAAGTTAAATGTATTTTTAAGTTTAAAGTGTTTAAAATAAAACTGTTTAAAAACAGAAGTACCTCTAGAAGGATTTTTAAGCTTAGACACAATAGATGTACCAAAGGAAACATTTTTTAGGTTGAATTACTCACACAATATTCTTTTGTTGTTAGTGGAGGGATAGAATATTTTACATTTAGCTAATGCTATTGGTTCAAAATGCATGTTCATTGTTCCTAAGCATATTTTTCCTTTATATATAGCATTATGCTTCTAACTACATGTTTTAACATCTTTTTCCTCATTTAGTCATTTTATTTGTCTTAATCATGTTTATTTGATCACTCCAATGTTTTCACGGTCATTTACCAGTCCCTGTTGCTTTTTCCTCCACCATCATTTTAAGTCTAATTCCTGTTTTCTTTGACCCACAATATTCTATCAATATACTATTCCCTTTACTTCTATTTTTCATTCATTTTGTTGTCACATAAATTGAAGGCCATTCATTCTCACACACACAAATAAACACATGCATAATAATTACCTATTTCTATTTATAAATAATGTACTTCCATGCTTCAGTTATCAAAAAGTCCTTAAGAAAACTCCGTAAAGAATTTGCCCCCTCTCATGTGCCTATCTTCCTGACAGGTAACCATGGTTACTAGTTTATATCATTTCAGATTTTTTTAAATGAATAGACATGCATATGTATGCCTACATGAAATTCCTCTTCATTTCTACACAAATGGTAGCATAGGAAATAGACATTTTGCACTGTTCTTCACCTTGCATTTGGTACTAGTTTGTCATGAAGATTTTTTTATGAAGGTCCGTTCATGCTATTTTTATTTTTTTTAAAACAAGTGTTATCGGATTCCTCGGCCACAATGTACCATATCCCTCACCAGTCCCTTCATATGGGAAGGTGCTGTAGTGATACAGTGAGGGGCTAATGGAAAAGTTAGAGGGTCACCAGCTGCTCTGTGGGAGAAAGGTGTGGCAGTCTACTTCCGTAACAATGACAGCCTTGGAAAGCCGATGGCTAATTATGCTTTGTCCTGATGGGTGCTAATAGTGTAAGTTTGAATCAGCTTGGTGGCAGTGAGTTTGTGTTTTTGATTTTCATGATGGTCCTTAAAATCATTCCCCATCCTTCACTATTCCAAACACTGCTGCAGAGTATAACTCACTCATATAACTCATTCACAAAACATTTTTCCCCAATGCCACTATGTCTTGAAGGTCAGATAAGTTGTTTTTTTTGACTGTTTGTTTACTGTTTTTTTGATAATTCGCAATTCCTGCTGCTAATGTTCTGCATTAGTTATAGATGAACGCCGAGCCAAAGTCACTGCCATTGAGTCGATTCCCACTCATGGCAACCCTATATAGCGTTTCTAAGACTATAAATCTTTACAGGAGCAGACAGCCTCTTCTTTCTTCGGAGAAGTGGCTGGTAGGTTTGAACTGCTGACCCTGTGATTAGCAGTCCAGGACTTACCCTACAGTACCATCAGGACTCCTTAAAGATACGTAAGCCCTATTTCAATCCCCAGTTCAGAAACTTTCAGACACCCCACTGGTAATATTTGGTCTCTGCCCAGTCATTGAGGAGGGAAGCAGGCGAATCATTATACGTGAGCAGGGTGAGCATTTGATGGTGTTTGCTATTGGCCTGTAGATTCTAGCTAAATGAGTGTATTTGTCATTCCCCCAAGGTGATCCATGGATTTCTGTGTCCCTTCCTTTGCACAGGGGGCCTCCCTGTGTGCTTTTTTTTTCTTAAACTTTTTATGAATTGGACGAAGGTTTACAAAACAGATCAATTTTCCATCCAACAACTCATACACATTTGTTTCATCTCATTGATTTCAGTCCCCACAATATAACACTTAATCTCACTGCCTCCTTGTGTTTCTCATTTCCATTCCTTCTTTTTCTGAAGTTTATCCTTAGGTAAATACTTCCATTTTGATCTCAAATGATTGCTTATTCTAAGGTGTATATACCTCCATCGTGTTACTGTTTCCCTTGCTTTCCCTCTGTCAGATCTGTGCCAGTATAAATCCATGGCATCCTTTGAGACTGAGCTCACATGCTACTGTATCTGTGAAGCTCCCACAATTCCTGCTTCCCTCTGCTAAAAATATTCTAACCTTCCGCTGAGTACTCTCACAGTACGTATCTGTTTCCACCTTGAAGTATCTGCAGTTTTCCTAAATCAGATGCAGGCTGCTAACGTGCCATGCACATGGATAGTACCTTGTTTTCATTTCTCATCCTATGATGTCTTACTAATAAATGAAAAAAAACAACAACAAAAAAACCAAACTGAAAAACAAGCAATAGTGAGCCTATTGTTTGGCATGAGGAAGAGGGGAATCTTTACTCTGCATGCAGAAATCACTCATCTCACTGTGAATATTTTCGTTTGTTTGTTAAATTAGAAACACCTTTTTCTTCCACTGCAGAGCCTAGAGCCATCAAGGTTTGCATTCCCAGGAACAGAGGGTGCCATTCAGTTTTTGCTGCTAGCTCCAAGTGTGAGCAGCAGGATGAGTGTGTTTGAGTGTGTGGTCTGTCTCACAGCACAACCAACCTTGAATAGGAAGTTTAGGAATCGGGTGTCTTATGTGTCCATTTTTATTATGGGATTAAAATTGCTATCCTGATAACGTCAATTTTACTCTGCCAAAAAAAAATGAATAAAAGTTGAGTCTAATCTATAGTCTTCAGAAGGTTGATCAGTGAGAATACAGGCAGAGCCCTGCTATCTGACTAGGAATGTTACTGAGCTATGGCCACCCCATATGATAATGCTCTGTCTCTCTCTTGTTACTGTCTCAGGTATTTGAAGAACCTTCCATCAGTCTCTTTGCTCTGGAACATTGTGAGGGAAGAGAGTTACATCTAGAAGAGGCCGTGAACTCTGTTCTGAATAAAGAACTGCACTTCTACACCCAGTCCGTGTGGGTGAAAAGTGGGCTGTAAGTACGAGAGAAGGGTCTGGCCTAGGTCACCAGTTTAGGACAGAGCAGCACGGTGGTTTCTCATACCGCCCGCTGCAGTTGGGTTCCAGTCTACTGGTGGTCTGCTGGTGCTCGTAACTCATTTTTGCTAAGTGAATTAACAGTGGTTTGAATGATAGTTCAAATAAGAAAAGACTGTGGGCTAGTATGCAGCAGGTACAGGAGCTTCTAGAAGTTTGTGGAAAAGATTCCATTACCTTTAATTATGATTTTCCATGAACTCTTTGAAGCCCCAACTTATGTAATAGAAGAGCCCTTTTTAGGAAAAGTTGGCCATGTGGTCAGAGCACAGATCATAGAGTAGCTCAACCAGATAACCTTATAGTTGAATTGTGTGTGTTGATTAAACCCACTTTTCTCTCAGGAGAAACCTGATTAAATCAACAATTTTGAATGCTCAAGACATGTATAAGGCAAGTGGCTGGGAGACTAAGACTGTTCTGTAGTATTGGTTTGACTTGATTTTTCAAGAGCTGTTTGCTCCAGGGTACTCATTTTCATGCAGAGTACTGTGCTTCACCTAAACTGTTTAGCAAAATCGCTGTTTCCTTTAGGAAATCTTGTCAATCAGGGAGAGCTCTGATGCAGTGGCTAAGCATGCAGCTGCTAACCAAAAAGGTCTGCGATTCACAGCCACAGCTGCTCCATGGGAAAAAGATGAGCCAGTCTGTTTCTGTTACGATTTGTTGTTGTTAAGTGCTGTTGAGTCGGGTCCAACGTATGGTGACCCTGTGGAGAGTTTCCAAGGAGCAGCTGGTAGCTTTCAACTGCTGACTTTGTGTTTCTCATTCCTGTGCTTATCATACCGCACCACACTAGGAACCGTGGCAATCCTATGGTACAGATCTACTCTTGGCTGTGGGGTCTCTGGGAGTTGGAATTGAGTTGGCAGCAATGGGAGTCCATGGGGTGGGTCCAAGCTGTGTGGGGTCTTCACTTTTACAATTTGGTGAGAGAGCCCTCTTTTTTAAGAAAGCAAACAAAACAAAAACCTGTTGCCTTTGAGTGGATTCCAACTTGGTGACCCCACGTATTTCCGAGTAGATCTGCTCCATGGGATTTTCTTGACTAGGTGTGGCACCATAGGGTAAACACTTGACCTCAAGGTCGGTTTGAACCACAAGGTCAGTGGTTCAGACTAACCAGCTGCTCTTCACAAACCCTGTACAGGGTTGCTGTGAGTCTGAACCGACTCAATGGCACTTAACCACAACAAACAACCATCTTTACAGAGGTAGATCCAGATCTCTTTTCCATTGTGCCACTACTGGCAACCTTTAAGTGAGTTGTTGTTGGTAAGTGCTGTTGAGTCGGTTATGGTTCATAGCAAACCTGTATAGGATTTCCCTGAGCGGCTGGTGAGTTTGAACCACCCACCTTGCAGTTCAAACTGACCTTGAGGTCAAGTGCTTATCCTACAGTGCCATACCAGGACTGTCGTAGGTTAGTTGGTGGTTATGTGCTGTGGAGTTGGTTCCAATTCATAGCGACCCCATACAGGGATTACAAGGCTGAAATCTTTACGGGAGCAGAAAGCCTCATCTTTCTCCCGCGGAACAGCTGGTAGTTTCAAACTGCTGACCTTAAGGTTTGCAGTCTGATTCGTAACCACTATGCTACCAGAGCTCCTTTAGATTAGTTAGTGGAGCACAAACTGTTTCAGATACAAAAATTAGGCTTCAGCTTGCATATTTACTTAAAATAAGAATGGTAAGAAGCCTGCAAGTGAGAGGTCCTAAAGTTGAAGCTCTGGATGCTTTATGGAAAGTCTACCTCTTGAGTCACGTTCTGTAGAGGTTGGTGTGTAAGCCAAAATCAACTCAAAAAGAACACAACTGGCTCTCCATTTTTAACATAAATATGACTTCTTACAGCTTTTAACTTATGTGATAGTCAGCATTCTGCTCATTTAGATATCTAGGAATAACGAAAGAGAAAGTCAGTGATATTAATTGATGTGAAAATTAAGTCAACTATTTTAATACGTGGCTTTTGTATTATTCATATAGAGAGCAGTATAAATTTTCTTCTGCAAAGCATTTCAGAGTTTTGGTGTTTATTAAACAGTATATTGATTTGTTCTATTTAAGCATAAGATTCCAGTGTTTTACCTAAAGTCTGGGAGTCCTAGTATGGCGCTGTGGGTTAATGCGCTGGATTGCAAAGTCGACTTGAACCACAAGGTCAGCAGTTCAAGCTTTCCAGCCGCTCCTTGGAAACCCTATACAGGGTTGCCGTGGGTTGGAGCTGACTCGATGGTACTTAACAGTAACAGCAACATAGTCTGTGTGAACTGAATTCTATATTCCTGTGATACAGACTATCAAGACATTGTCTTTACATTTCTAAGTGAAATTGGTATTATTGACTCACCTCTGAGGCTTTGTCACCTACCTATGTCACTCTTTTCTGAAAAACTCGTGCCATTTTACAGTGGCATTCTTACTTCTTCTCTTTGACTTATTATTGACCTCCGGATATGACGCTGTGGATTAATTTGCTGAACTGCAAAATTGGTTTGAACTACAAGGTCGGCGGTTCAAGCTCACCAGCTGCTCCTCAGAAGCCTTACATTGGGTCGCTATGAGTCAGAACCAACTCAGCGGCACTTAACAAGTCTCACTAGTCTAGATTTTGTGTACGAGAATTGGCACACAGAGTGAGAAACAGTGAAGGCTGTCTGAAGATTCTCCTAGGCTGCAAATGGATGTAATACTTACTCCACAGCCAGCTACCCTCAGTGACAAGTTTTGTTTTGTTTTAATCCCCTTCTTATCCGATGTCTTTCATCTGTGGTGGAATGAGGGACATGCCTTAATGCATCATCCCACACAGCTTTTCCAACTGGAATTCAGTTAGATCAATATATAATTAGGTATGGTTCCCTCAAATCTTGCATAGATTTCATAACTAAAACATGCCCGCCTATTTAATGAAGCTGAAAGGTAGATAAGCCTCTCAGTAGTTGTGCAGACTGCCTCTGTGCAGGTGTGTTGCTTTAGATTTTTGTGGGTGAGGCGGAGGAAGGGAGGGAGGTTTCGTCTGTCTTGTTCATCTCTTCGTAATATGGCTAAGCCTGGTCTCTGTTATGGGTAGCAGGGTAGTGGACAGTTTAGACCAGTGATTTCTCCCCAAGCTTTTATAGTTATGTCTACTCATTAAAAGCTCGAACAGGAAGCCTTCCCTCGTTTCTCCCATTTCTCCACAATTTTTATTTACAAGTTGATGTCTTTTCCTGCATTAACAAAGGTAGAAGTCCCTAAGGGATATTGCCCTCTGTAACTTGTAGAAGTTTGCATCTGAAAAACGGAAGGACTAGAGTCACTATTGCCAATAGCAGCAAAACCCTTTGTAGTTTGTGTCATAAAGTTGGGATGAATCTGTGTATGAGAACCCTCCATGTGACCAGCTGCCAGTGCTCCGTGTCTCATCTTCAGAGTCACACATTTCTTGATTCAAGGCAAGGTTCCAGTTGCCACCAAGTCCACTCTGACTTCTGGCTGTCCCATGTGTATGTATCACCGTGGAAATAGGCACCATGGAGTTTTCAGAGGTAGATTGTCAGGCTTGTCTTCTGAGATGCCTTGAGTTAGACTCTAAACTTACACTTTTTAGTTAATAGATGAGTATGTTAACCATTTGTACCACTGAGGGACTCCTTGGTCCAAGGCAGGGCAACCCAATCTATCAACTCAGTGCTTTATCTGAACTGAAGGAGCCCTGGTTCTACAGCAGGCTAAGCGTTGGGCTGCTAAACGCAAAGTTGGCAGTTCAAGCCCAGCAGCCAGTCCTTTGGGGAAAGACGAGGCAATCTGCTTCTGTAAAGATTTGCAGCCTCATGAACCCTATAGAGAGTTCTACTGTCTCTTATTAGGTCACTTTGAGTTGGAATCATGGAGCAGATATCTGCTCCTCCACACATAACTTCTTAAGTACACTGCTTGGGCTAGCGGTGACCTTGAGTGTTGAGAATTTCAGGTCTTGGTGATCATCTTTTCTAAGGGGTTTAAGTTGCTAACCACCTAAAGCAGAGCTCTGCAAATGTTTTCTGTACAGGACCAGATAGTAAATATTTTCTGTTTGTGGACCTTACTGTCTCTTGTAACTTTCCACATTCTAGAGCGAAAGCAGACAAAAACAATCTGTAAAAGGAATGGACATGCTGTATTTAATAAAACTTTATTTACAAAACCAGGCTGCTGCTGGATACATCCACATTCTAATTTGCTTACACCTGACCTAAAGAAACAACTATGAGCGAACCCTTCCTGGAACAACTTCAAGCCTACAAGATGCTTTCTGTGAAGTTGTACTGCCTCTCTCAGCTGTTTAAAATTCCTTGCTGACTTCTGCTAGATAAAGCCCTCTTAACTCCTGCCAGATGTATGATTGGCTCTTATTTGAGATCAGAAAGATTAATGGAAACATTTAATGGCTACTTAGTATATCTATAGTAAAGGTCTTTCACAGGAACCCTGAAGGCTGGGATGCAGAAATCTCCGGAGAGCCTGACCTTCCTTTCAATTGATAGCATTTCTGACTAATGGCATACCATACCTTAGGTTTCTTTTCTAAGCTGCTTTCTCAAGATAAAAATACATTTTTCAAAATAAAAGAAAGCCAATGTGTGACATCCAGGTGTGATGCTGTAGGATAAGCACTGGACTGCTAATTACAAAATCAGTTCAAACCCACCAACTACTTTTTGGAAACTCTATACAGGTCACTGAGTTGGAACTAACCTAACAACAGTGTAGACTGGAATTTGTATTTGTAACTGTAAACTATTAAGTTTAAAAGGAGCCCTGGTGGTGTACTGGGTTAAGTGTCGGACTGCTGATAACTAGGTCGGCAGTTCAAACCCACCAAAAAAGACTGCTCCCCAGAAACAGGGTTTTTGTGTTAGGGGCACTGTGAGTTGGAATCCATTGGAAGGCAGTGGGTTTTGTTGGTTTGTTGGTTTGTTGGTTAGTTCATTGTAACTTTCTAAAGTCTGGCTTTTTAGTAACAATTTCTCATAGTAATGACTATGCAGAGATTTTACATATGATTATAGAGGACTGCATTATTCAGAAAGCATTTATTTTCAGGACTGTGCATTCCACAGTTTGAATAAGGGGCCATCCTACCATTCGGCCATGCCTCCAGTAGTTGTAATACAGTGTGCTAAGTGGCAAACTAGCTGTATAGACAAAGTTGCTGGAGAACAGTGTAGGTCTTGAGGCCCTGGACTCGTTCACACACTTAACTCTGCCTGGGTCGAAGACAAGATATTGGGAAAGGATTTGCAAAGGATTTACAGGCATTGACGTAGGAGTAAGACAGGGGACATGTGTGGATAATGATAAGTAGCCCTCTGTGGCAAATGTGGAGGAGTTGTAGAAGGAAGATGTGTCTGGAGAGAGCTGGCAGCCCTGAAGGACTGGACAATGAGCCTAAGTTTTACCTAGTAGCAGGAGGGACAAGGAATGATCTGTCTTCAGATGTTAAGTTGCTATGAAAAGGCTCAGCGTGATCAAAGAAACACAGAATGTTGTAGCTAGAAGGAACCTTGGCTGTACATTCATTTTGAAGACACCCAACTGGAATCTAGATCTTCTGACTCCCAGTCCAGTAGGCTATCTCCTAGTCCTCCTGCTTTTTCTATTAGAAGAAAATATGTAATTTTTCCCTCCAATAAATCTACCATCCTAGACATCTTTAAAGAATGAACTGTACATAATACAGTAGTTGCTATATTTTAAATAATTGATTGCGGTTTTTCTGTTTTTCATTTTTAACGTACCACACTGTTTTCTTTCCTGCATTAGGTGGATAGCTTATGAAGGATCCAATTTCTTAGGACGACAAATCCTACTGGAACCTAATGAGATTCCAAATTGGACAGCATTCAGTGGGTGGAAAACAATTGGTTCCCTCCGTCCTATGAAGCAGGTAAGTGGAAAAGAAACAAAATTTCCATCTTTCTGGTAGAAATATCATAAACAACACCTTCTGGAATGTTGGCCATTTAATCTCCCATGTGCAGAGGGAGTAGGAGGGGGAATCATGTAGCAAACACATACAAATGGATTTAAGGCCAACATTGGATTTTATCTTTGAGTCCAATGTCTTATGACTGTTCACTTCTCATGGAAAAATGTTACAAGCTTTATGGCAAGCAATGGAAACAAGAATGCACTCTGAGACATTACTAGTTTTACTTTCCAACTACTTGGGTTTTTGCCCCCACCACTTATATAATACTCAGGCTAGCTCCTGGCAGTTTAATTAAAATAGTATTTACTGCACACCTACTGCCTGTCACTCTTCTGTTTAAACGCTTCCCACTGCTCTTTGGATACAGTCTGAACTCCTCCACAGGCTCTGTGTGATCTGTTCCCCCTGCTCCTTCAGCCTCATCTCTCACAAGTCTCCTCTTCATATGGCTGAGTCACGTGCACTCTCTCACTCAGTTGGTGCTTGACACAGGCCAGGCCCTCTGCCTAGAATGCTCTCACCTCATTCTTTGCCTGCTTGTTCTTACTCATCCCTATGGATTCAACTTAGTTGGGTTCCCAAGGATGCCTACTGCAACCCTTTCTCCCAATCTAAATTAACCTAAAGAACGTGGTTCTGTTTATTCAAGAAGGAGCTCAACAGGTGGTCAGTGATTTGAACCCACCAGTCACTCTGTGGGAGCAAGGTGACAGAATCCCCTCAGTAGCACTGGGTTTTTTGTTATTTCCCCAAGACTGTTTTCAGTTTGTGACAATATAGTTAGGGCTGGGTTGGGCACTTTCCACTGTACTCCAAGCTTATCGCTCTACCTGTTGTTAAGTGCCGTTGCATCAGTTCTGACTCATAGCGACCCTGTATAGTTTCCTAGGAGTGGCTGGTGTGTTTGAACTACCAACCTTGTGGTTCAAACTGACCTTGTGGTCCAGTGTGTTATGTCACAGTGACTTCTGAGGACTGTGTATACATTTTGCTTAATCGCTATCTTTTTTTTTTTTTAAGTTTTTATTATGAATTATGTGGGTTTACATAGGAGAACATCAGCTTCACAATCATCGTATCGTATTTCATTTCATTGCAATGATTACAATCCCTTCCATGCATCATCACACAACCAAAGGATACACTCTATAGGCCAGTCTCCCTGGCAGTCAGCATACAGCCCCTCTCCCTCCCTGAGTCCCGTGTCCCCAGCCACTCCATCTGTCCAAGTCATCATGCCTGGCTCACTGCCACTTTGGGTAGAGTCACCCTCTCTGCTCTTCTCCTGGGCTGCAAAATCAGTCACTCCCCTCCTTTTGTCAGAAACATCTACCTCTATATTTCCGACCCTCACAGTCAGTTATTCACTATTGTACCACAAGAGTGCTATCTGCATTTCCTTTCACCAGCCAGGTCCCAACAGATTGGAAATCACTCAGTGGAGATTCCACCTGGAACTAGGCTCCCTCTTGAAACCTTGTAAGCCAGTCACTTCTTGCCTTTATAGGCCCCTACCCCCCCATTTTGGGTAACCAAGTCACTTTATTTATTTTTTTTTGCTTATTGCCTGTCAAAATGTGAGGTACCTTGTAGGAGCTAGGAGACTGTTTGTTTAATGAAGCAATGACTGTACAAGTGAAGGAGTGGCTGCTTAATATTATCTACAGTGTTATGGAAGAGCTAGGGATTCCTGCCGTACTGAAGCTTACATTTTTTAATTGGGAAAGCATGACCAACTATAACTAGTAACTAAAAATGAAAAACAGTACATAATCATTAAAAAAATCCCACAGGCATTACCTGATTCAGAGAAGGGAAGTATGTGTGGGAGCAAGGAGAACTAGCCTCTCAAGAGTGAGCTACAGTCAGTGGATATGCCATCTGTACTGCTCTCAAGTCCTTTAAAAACACATTCTCACTTGATTCCTTTGAGATAAGAATTAGCCCTATTAACACCTAGGATTATGCCCTAAAATACATGTATTGTAGAGGAGTCCTGGTGTGGCGCCCTCCATAGGATAAGCACTGGACCATGAGGTTGGTTTGAACCAAGTGGCTATGAGTTGGAACCGACTCATTGGCACTTAACAACATAGAGGATTAAGTGTTAAATTTCCAAAGTTCAGACTTAAATAGTAGCTTTAAAAAAAGAGGGGTAGTCTAATTGGTCTTCTTTTGCTGTCCTTTTCACACATATGTATCATGCTTAGTACTTTTGTTTGGTTCGGAGTCTGACTTTGCCATTTATAAGCAGTGTGAACTTGGGCAAGTCACTTAATTTTTTGGTACCTCAGGTTTCTCCCTGGCCAAATACTGATCACATTGTTTATATCACAGTAGTGGGGTGAGGATTAAATAGAATAATGTATGTGAAGTGTCTGGTGTAACATCAGGGTCATATTACTATGATGATCCATGACTTTTGAAAGTTTATCATTCACAACAGCCCTTGAGAGAACCAGGGATGTTCTACGGATAAAATGACATTAGTGGGCTTTACTGGCATAAAACATACGGTACTGGATCTCATGACTTTAGCATCTTGCTTATTCTTCATTCTTACATCATAAGATGATGGGTGATCTCATTGAGAAGCCATAGGAAAAATCAGAAGAGGAAACCTATCAGTTTTTACTTTTACCACAGTTACATAATGATGCTAATCCTCTATTGTTGGAAATTCAGAAGTAAAATTTAACACTGAGAATATTTTTTATTTTGGAATGGTGGTTCCTTGGTAGGGAAGCATGTCTCTTTTTGCCCATTTTTCAGGGCCTTAAGATACAATTATCTTTTCATGGAAGAACTTTTACATTGAGACATTTTCATAAATATTTCTATGTAAAACTAGAAGCTAGGACAGTAGCTTCTAGTTTTACATAGAAAGTATTTTTGAAATTTTTGTGTGAATTGAGTAAAGGTTTACAGAGCAGATCATTACATTGAATAGTTTCATAGACATTTTGTTTCATCTCATTGATTACAATCCCCTCAATGTAACATCATTGATCCCACCTCTTCCCTCATGTATTTCCTGTTTCGATTCCCCCTTCATTCCTAATCCTTCTAAACGTTGTCCTTGGATAAATGCTACCCTTATGATCTCACATGGTTTATTCTGAGATGTGTGGCCCTCCCTGTTGTTGTTTCCCTTATACACCTATTGTTTGGTTGAAAATTGAGCCCTGGGGGACGAGTCTCTTTCCACACCTGAAAAATGACTTAAGGGCCATATTTTCAGGGGTTCCACCGGTCTCTCTCTTGACCAGTAAGCCTGGTCTTTTTTTTACATCAAAATGTGATCATTTGTCACTCCTCTTACACTGTATTTTAGAAGTTAATAAGTTATTTTCCCTCTTAGTTACTGAGGCTACAATTTTGAATCTTGCAAACAAAAATCTTCAGTTTCTGAGACAGTATTCAGTATAATATTTAACTTTTGGGTAAGGCTATTTGTACCGCATTTATTAACATTCTTGTTCAGAAATACAAGAGTAATTGAAATGTCATCTTTCAGGTTGGGAATTAGGAAGTCACTAGGGTACTTAAAATGTGTATCAGTGTTTTTTAAGTATAATTACAAAGGAGTTAGACTACAAATATGTTAAAAGGGTAATTAGTTACCTTGCTTGAGTTAATTTATTAAAACTGTGATGTTTGGTCCTAAAGTAATTGGAGTTCTCACATCTGTGAAGGTCATGTCTGTTTTCTGTTATGTACCAGGTAAGTTAACCATAATTAAGATACACTGAAGCCTCAAGAAATTATAATGTCAGTGGGAAACCAAGCTGAGTTATAGAAATTTAAGTATCTTGCTACTGCATTATGAATATACAAGTAAGTGGTTTATGATATTTAGCCAAGTAGAAGTCTTACTCTAATTGAGATAACAACATTTGACCCAAGGCAGGTGGATGTCCTGTACTTTACATGAAGACTCAAAGCGTAAGTCATGGGGCTTTGAGCTTTGATCAGGGGTCTTTTCCTTTTCACCATTTTTCTGAGTCCACACTGCCATCTTTGGAAGTCTTTCTGTCATTCCCTGTGTCTCAAGAGTGCATTTCAGTACAGGTCGTAAAACATCCTGGTTAAGGAGGAAAGCTTTGGTTAAACAGATCCGGCTTCTTCACCTCTTGTGTTTAATAATAAACCTTACTAAATTTAGGGTCATAATTGGGTGATGCAAAGTCGATTTGAACTGCATGGTCAATGGTTCACACTCACCAGCCGCTCCTTGGAAACCCTGTACAAGGTTGCTGAGTGGGATCCGAGTTGACAGCATATTAACAAGGTTTGTGACGATGATCTGTGACATGGTATAATGACACCGAATGCAACTGAGCACATTGGCATATACTAAGCACTCAGTAAATATTAGCTGTCTTCCTCATAGCAAGTCCTAGACTTATTTTGAAATACTAAATTTTAAAGGATGGTCTCTTGTTACCAATTTAAAAACACTCAAGTAGTAATTAAACTTTTTGGTCTTTGGTTTGTTCTTTTACTAACTAGAATCTTGCAAACCAAATGGACTGATAAAATAATGCCAGTTCTTAGTGATTAAACAACATGGTCTCTTCCGACGAAAGGAGTTATAAAGGTCTTATGTGAACAGAGATGTCCTCAGTTTACATGTATTTTTCAAGACCTCCCATTGCAGCCATTTGGCACTTAATCATAGCATATCTGTCTTGATGGGACTTACATGATTATTGGACTTACCTTTCCTGAGTTCTTGCAAGGTCGTTATATGTCGTACCAGTCTCTTACCTCCTTTAGCACAATTGTGACACATTAGTTAACTGGATGAACCCTGAGTCCTGATTCTTCTAGTCCTGGTCACTTGGAGTTCTGGTCAATGAAATGATTCTTTTCACCATTTCAAAATGTTCCTACTTTCCAGTAAAAGCATGTAGGGACTATACAACTTAAACTTCGGGCTCGATAGTTTAAAGATTTTGTCAATAGAATAAAGTAACGTGTACATAATTGTTTCTATAGGTTTACTAAAGGGAGTAAGAGTGAAGCTGAAATAAACTTGGTCACTTCTTGACTTCCACTCTGCATACTCTTTGAAATACTTACTTCCACATTTGAAAGGTTATTGTTTTTTTATGGCCGTTTTCCCCCTTATCGTAGCCTGCCGTGTACATCAGAATAAAGAATCGAGCCCAGGATGAGTATCTGACAGTTACTGGGAATCTAGCTGACATGAGGACAACATCTGTGTGCATTTCTCCCTACAGTGGAAAAAATACGCAGATCTGGCACTACTGTCGAGGACTCTTTAAATCCAAGGTAACCTAGGAAACCCATCGTCACCGAGTCCATCATGACTCATGCGGATGCCGTGTGTATCAGAGTACAACTGTGCTCCATAGAGGTCCTCGGGGTGGGCTCTAACCACTGAATTTGTGGTCAGCAGACAAATGCATTAACCAGATGAAACAGAAGAGCCCTGTGTTTTGGTCACTGGAAATTAGAATATTGGAAACCAAATGGACTGATAATGCCAATTCTTAAAGGACAGTTTCATTATCATATTGTTAAAGTGCCCTCAAGTCAGTGCCAACTCACAGCGACCCTGTATAGGGTTTCTGAGAAGCAGCTGGTGAGCTTGAACCGTTGACCTTGCAGTCCAGCGCAGTAAACCAGAGTGCCACACCAGGACTGGTCATATATACATTAGAGTGAAATGGCTTAAGATAATTTTTTGACCTAAATTTTAAAAAAATATCTCTGATGTGCATCACTAGATCTGAATTGGACAGTGTGCTTTTGTGAGATACTCTTTGCTAAGTGGCATAGATGAAATCAGTCATCTTTGAGATTTTTAAACATGTTTTGTTGTTGTTAAGTGCCATCGAGTCGGTTCCGACCCATAGCGACCCTGTACAGGGTTTCCGAGGGTGTAAATCTTTACGGGAGTAGAAAGCCTCATCTTTCTCCCGCGGAGCGGCTGGTAGTTTCGAACTGCTGACCTTAAGGTTCGCAGCCGAATTCGTAACCACTATGCTACCAGAGCTCCTTTACCCTTTCATTTTCAAAATATACAATGAGCTGTAGTAGAAGAAAGAAGCTGCTAATGGAGAAAGCTTAGAAAATAAATTTGTTCCATATAACATCATATAAATAGAAACTTAAATTTTAAGCACTTCATCCAGTATTTATAGGAAAATCAAGTGCTACATAGTGTTAAGCAAGCAGAGACTTTATATTCCATTTTAATTCATCAATTGAATTTAATTCAGTTGAATATCTGTAACAATGTGCAGTCATCCTTTCAAAAACAAGTACATCAATTCTAGGTGGCTTATTTCTTTACCATCTCCTCCCCCAGTTGTAAATGTTGTTGTTGTTAGGTGCCTTCGAGTCGGTTCCGACTCATAGCGACCATGTACAGGGTTTCCGAGGGTGTAAATCTTTGCGGGAGTAGAAAGCCTCATCTTTCTCCCGCGGAGCAGCTGGTAGTTTCAAACCGCTGACCTTAAGGTTCGCAGCCCGATTCGTAACCACTACGCTACCAGAGCTCCTTGTAAATAAGCCTGGAAAAAAAAACCATACTGAGCTTACTATTATGGTATAGAATATTCTTTATATATATATATATCGATATATATTTATATATATATCACTTAATGCCTATGATTTATTCACCTGAAAGAAAAGAAACTCAGTTAAATTTATTTTAGTCAAAACAGTACTGGTGATTTGTTTCTTACCTCTTAGGCCAGCGATACGTGTCTTGATGTGATTGGCGGCCGAGACACCCCTGGAGCTAAAGTAGCCCTCTGGACTGAGCATGGGCAGTTCAGGCAGAAGTGGAGACTGAACAAAAATGGAACCATCAGCTCTTATCTCAGTGATCACCTTGTCCTTGATGTTAAAGGTAGGCCTTTGATGACACCTAATGTTTTGTGGGTTTTGGTTATCATTAAGAAATAAATATCTATGAGAATCAAGCAGACAAGATCTAAGATCAAAGTCTTCAAAGTTTTCATTCATTAGTACAGTAAGCTCATTTGCTTTATGAACTTGGAAAAGGATTTTAAAGTAGAAGCCACATAAACCACAAAATGAATGTCATGTGTTTTTAGAAAGAAACATCTTTTCTTGCTGTGAATTGCCATGGTCCTTAAAAGTCCTCAGTTAAAATTTATGGAAGATGTATCACTTAACTTTGTTTTTGAATTCAACAAAGCAAGAGCCAGCATCACTCATGGCTATTGCTGTAATTGGGTTAGTCATGGCCTCTGTTGGTGAAGAAACAAAAACACAGTCCCCGACATTGAGCAGAGCGTTCTCAGAGCACTTTGTTCATCAGAATCGCATTGTTGGGGCACACTGCTTATGCAATTATGTATTGCACCTTTTAGCTTTTCATTCGGAGTCATAGTAAGATCCAATTTGAGGTTAATAAATAGTTTAGCCTGATTAAACTCAGTTTCTTGTTTCAGGCCACTTAGTAAATGACTTTAATCTACCCAAACAGCAGGCAGAACAATAGGTACTTGTGAAAGTGCTAAACACCTGCATGAACAAGTAATCTTTTCTTTTGGAAATTTCTGCTTTAGGAGGAAACTATTGTGACAAGACTCATGTGATTATAAATCAGCCCCTAGAGGGAGAAGAAACACAGAAATGGGACATAGAAATATTGTGAGAGAATCTATAACATCCCTTGAAAGAGCAAAGGAAAAAGGAACCACACGGCCCTCCTTGCCTTGCACTTGAGAAAAGGAAGTTGACTGGATCACTGAGCAGAATAATGAACTTTTTTCCCTTAAGTTTCAAGACTATATTTCTCTTGACCTTGGACAAACCCAAAACATTCTGGCCATTTTCTCAGTGTTCTTTTGAAGAATACCATATATAAAGACACACTTTGATTGGATTTTCCGTGAAGGTTCTATACCTGATTGATGTCCAGTTTTGGTAAGGATTTCTCAAGCTTGTATTTTCTCTGTTCACCAGATGTGGCTCCTATTCCTTTTAGCCATTATAGGGCACTGGTGACTGTTACCTTTTATTATTCATATTCTAGTCGATGACATGCATGGGCATAAGGCACAATGGGAGCACATCCCTATAGGTCAACACTTTCAGCAGCACTTGAAAACACATTTAAGAAAAAAAAAAAAAAAAGCCTTCCTGTTAAGCTGCTATAGGAGATAAACTATTAAAAGTTCTACATTGGAACCTTTCATGAAGCACCATAAGTGTTGTTATACTTGTTCCTTACTCCAGTAAGGAAGCTCAGTTTTGTGAGGAAAAAGGGCCAACTTGGAGTATATCCTGTGGTCATTTCTTTCCTCAATTTTTCTAAAAAACCAGTAACGCAACCTGTAGTTAGCTTTGTACTCCAAGTATTAATATTAAACATGTCCCTCTGGGCAACAAGACTAACCAATGATTTCCCATTTTGGTGCTGAGACCCACCCTAGTTATGTGCCCTCAAGGCGAAGTGTTTATAAAGGTGTGTCACTTAAGCATATTATTATTAGTCAAATTTTTCTTTGCTGGAACTAAAGGGAAATTTCAAATGTTCAAATTAAAGTAGTATTTTGAGCCTTGACCTTAACCATTTTCTTTTCAAGTAAAGGTGAAATTTTAAGTTTATAATAAGTAACAGAAATTTCAGTTTTCCACTCCTTTTTACTTTAACCAAAATCAGGTAGGAAATCATCTTTGACTAATCAGTACCATCTAACTGCACAATTCACAAGCATTTTTCCCTCCTGCATTGAGATATCTGTTCCTTTCATCCCCAACTTTTGCCAAAAAGCAGAAAAATGCTGTTTTTTTTATACAGAAAGATTAAATTCTCTAAACCCTCAACCTATATGCACTTTAGAATGTAAAATAGCAGTAAATAGTTTAAACAAAAATACAGACCCATTATTTTGAGTATTTTTTATGGAAGCTTGTTTTTTCTGTTCAATCTCAGGCCTTTTCATCTTTCTAAGCAGTAGCTCTAAGATTCTCTAGTGCACACAGACGTGAGTGCCTCTCAGTGGTGTGGCAATATTATTTAACACAACTTACGTTACGCTACAGGAATAATTCTATTTTAATGGGGTGGGGGTACTTGTGTATACACAAAGCCATGTATATTTTCATTGTAAAAACCAAGTTAAAAATTTTTTTTTTCTTTGTGTCAAATGTTTAAAAAGAGTCATTTGGGCTCTTTAAAGAAGTTGTTTCTTCCAAAGAACCAAGACAAAGTCAGGTAACAAAAGTTTAAATGTTACGTTTATTGGAGTTGTGCCTTTTTTTACCACACTGGATTAAAAAAAATACTGTTTTGTCACTCTGTGGGACTTTTCTTCTGGCTAGTACATATAGAGACGCAGGCACAGAAAGCTCCCTTCATCTTCTCTCCTAGGCTCATATATCAAGTTTCCCTAGCACACACCTTCCTTTTAGTGTACTAGAGTACTTGGATTAAACATTCTGTCCAAAGGGATAATACCAGGCTTTGCTTTTCTTCATCTGTAGGAAGTTTCAGGTCCTTGACAGAAATAGCTGAACTGTTCCAAATTTGCTTCAGTGCATCCATATGTGATAAAGGAAAGCGAAGTCCGTGAGACTGAAAAAGGATAGAGATCAGTCACAACACTGTCCTTACTTGCTCCTTTCAAACAAACTTCCACACGTTTGCTTAGATTTCCTACAATACTATAGATCCTAGGTAGTATTCTATCTTGTAAAACGTGTGTCTATCACAGAATTGTCTGACTTAATCAGCCCTCCCAGCCACCACCCAAATCATGAAAGTCATTTGTTTTAGGTTGGAACAAACCTCTGTTTCCTCGTTTCCCATCATGTGTATCTCTCTCCTATTCCTTAAGGAATGATAGATGTAAACCATCTTTTCTTGAATTTCATCCTTTAACAAAAAAGTGATTCATCAATAACAAAACAGGGAGGGCTTCGCTTCAATACTAGCAGAGATTTTCAGTAGATCACTACCAAATGTACAGACTAAAAGAGTCCTCTTGGCAGAGTTACGCTATGCGTACATGCACACACTCCATTTTTTTTAAAGGAGAAAAATGGACCTGGTTGAAAAAAAAAGTTTTTGACATTCTTATTCATGGAAGAAACACCTGTCAATCTGCTTCCATAAAGATAACATTCTACACTAAACTATATGGGGCAGTTGTACTCTGTCACATGGAGTCACTGTGAGCCAAAAATAGTTAATGGCACCTTTGCTGTTAAGTGTAGTTGAGTCGGTTCCAACTTAGAGTGACCCTGTAAACCACAGAGAACATAATCTACATTCCGTAACCTTGCTACTCAACCTAGTGGGTTCACAAAGCCAGCTAACAAGAATTTTATGAAAAAATGGATTTAAAACATAATGGGTTTTTTCCCAAAATTTTTTGACGCTCAATCATATATATATGTTAAGTGCCATTCAGTCGGTTCTGACCCACAGCGACCCTGTATAGGGGTTTCCAAGGAGCAGCTGATGAGCTTTTTAACTGCCAACCTTTTGGCTCAGACCAGCCATGCAGTCCAGTGCATTAACCTGAAGCACCACCTAACAACATGTATGTGTGTGTGTATATATATATATGTAAGTAAACAATTTATGAACACACCAAGAAGTGAATATTAACTCTTTAAGCACTGTGTAACCTACAAAATTTCCATGACAATTACAGCTTCACAAATCGTCTTCACTTTCTCTTACATAATACATACAAAGTTGGTTTGAACCACAAGTTGGCAGTTCAACCTCACTAGTTGCTCCTTGGAAATCCTATACAGGGGTCGACTCGGTGGCACTTGAACTTCTTGTTAGCTGGGTTTGAGAACCACTAGGTTGAATAGCAAGGATATGGAATGTAGATGACGCTCTCTGTGGTTTACAGGATAGTTCTTCTTTAAATATCTCTATCAACAAAAGCATGACAAATTTGCAGCAAGGTTGGAAAGCGCTGATGTGGGAAGGCTTATAAACAGAGTGTAGCTGTGAAGCAAGAAGCAACAGAGCTGAATTTGGATGGGAAGCAAAGACCAGGCATTAATCATGACATAGGAGGATGAAAGAGAGTGTTGTGGTAAAGTCCTCAAATACTTAGCAGGGAGGAAAATTTAGACCTGGAACAGTGAACAACCCACTGTTGTTGAGGCAATCCCAATTCTGGGGGGTTTCATAGGCTATAAATCTTTATGGGAGCAGAGAACTTCATCGTTCTCCCTCAGAGTGGTGGTGATTTGAACCGTGGATTTTGCAACTCAATGCTTAATTCACTGTGCCACCAGGACTCCCTGAGGCAGAGCATAAAAACTATTAGTCTTATACGCCAAAGGCTTGATAGAGGAGAAAGCCTCTTCCCTTTTGGATACTTACAGATGGATCCTGATCTGGCCCTACTGTGAAGACAATGTGCTCTTTAAACTGAAATCTCACTATGCTGTCCAGCCTTGGTAATGTTCCACCTAGACACAATCCAAAGAAAAAGAGCCATCCTTTAGAAAAGAAGATTCAAATTTATTTCCAGGTGTAATTATTTATAGTAAACTCACAAAACATGAGTTGGCATCTCCAACTCAAGTATTTATGTACCTCTGGCATTTATAGTGACGTTAAAAGTATACATTATATCTTCATGGAGTTTATATAGCCTTAGATCATCTTCATTCTTACAGTGAAGACACACAATTAAGATATGTAAAAATGGAACTAAAAGACAAGGGAATTTTTCCACAAACTTTCTGAAGCCCCCTCATGTAAGTTGATAAGTGTAATAAATAAGTAATACCATGGAAGCACGAAAACAAAGCCATAGAGCCTTCTGCAGAGAACACTCTCACTTCTCCAATTTCTATTCTCTACCCATGGACACGGGAGAACTATCTGTGATCAGTTCCATGATCCTGGTAAATTATTCAGGTGATGCGCTACTACTAGGTGCCATCGAGCCGATTCTGCCTCATAGTAACCCTCTGCACAACAATGAAACCCTACCACTCCTCACACACCGTTGCCACCAGGGTGTCCATCCATCTCATTAAAGGTCTTCATCTACCTAGCCAGAGCATTAAGACAAGGAAGTAAAAGGTATCCAGATTGGAAGATGAACTAAAATTAACTCTTTTTGTAGATGACATAATCTAAGAAAACTTCTAAAGAACTAACAGAGGAATTTTGCTGAATTACAAGGAAAAAGGCAACAAAAAAAAAAAATCAGATGGGTTTCTATACACCAGAATGAGAAATCAGAAAGAGAAATTAAGGAAACAATGCCATTTACAATAGCATCCAAGAGACTAAAATACCAAAGAAACAGCGAAGACTAAATCTAACAAGGAACATGAACTTAAATACAACAAAAACTATAAAACTGCTGAAAGAGATTATTACAACTACTATGTTTCTGCCTGTCTGGACCATGATTCACAGTGGTTTGGCAATTATATTAGAAAACATTGTGATGTGATCTGATGCCATAAACCAATAAGTGGATTAAGGGTGGGCTGCAATACCCTTAAATTCTTGACTCTGACCTAGTATCATCAGAAGTTTCCCAGGGTATGATCTGTAGCACCTTTTATCTTAATGAGAGATAAGAGCCAAGTGAGCAAAGGAGGAGGGTTCTCCTGCCAACAAACAGAGCCTGGAGGCACAGTGCACCCTTCTGACCTGGG